TCAACAACAAGTACTACATCCACGTCGTCGACTAGTACAACAACAACAAGTAAATATAGTCTTATCTAATCAATTAATCCTTATTTCGTTCTATTTTTCAAAGCAACAACACCAATCTGTCCACCAAGAATATATTCACAAAGTTTTGTTAGCGGTGTTTATTCAGCAAGTTCATGTTCAGCTTGGACATCTTTTGTAGCTAGTTTGACGTGTTCGACTTATAAATCATTTACGTTAAGTGGTACATACAATACAAATGGCATTAACGCAACTAATTCAGTTGTGGTTAATGCTATTGCAACAGCATTAAGAACTTCATCGGCATATAGTGGCACTTCAAATGGAGTCACATGGTATGTGGGTACTTGTGGTGGCGGAATGGAATTAGCATCAACCGCTGTATGTCAATGTGCCACAGGTTATAGTATAAGACCTTGTATTGGTGGTCTAAACTGGGGTGGTGTTGACAGCACATCATGCAGTGCGCCATCTCAAGTAATGACACTTTCATTTCAATGAAAAATATATTACTTATTATTCATGATAAGTAGTGATTCTATCAAATAACCCGTATTACTCGTGATGATACTGTATAAACCCTAGTTTGTATCATCTTGCTTCTAAGTAATTTCTTTACTTTTGTGATTATTTCTTATCCGAATAAAGCAACATGTGCTTATGAAATACATTTATATTAATTAAATACATCCATTAACATATCAGATTTCTAAATAGTTTCCTGTTTATAATGTTCACTGACGAAAAGTTCTAATTTATATAAATACTTTTGATGATATCAAAGTAAAAACATCCAATATTTATATTTAATATAAAAACTTACAAACTCAAAACATCACAGTAAAGAAAAATATCAATGTTTTCGATTTATTTTTATTCTAAATTAGCTGGACAATTATACCATTTGTATACTCTTAAACATAGAACTGGATCAATAATAACTACCGAATCATTATATTTTGATTTTTGTACAGATAATTTAGATTAAAAATAAATCGAAAACATTAATATTTTTCTTTACTGTGATGCTTTGAGTTTGTAATTTTTTATATTAAATATAAATATTGGATGTTTTTACTTTGATATCATCAAAAGTAATTATATAAATTAAAACTTCTCTTCAGTGAACATTATAAACAGGAAACTATTTAGAAATCTGATATGTCAATGGATGTATTTCATAAACACAGGTTGCTTTATTCGAATAAGAAATAATCACAAAGATAAAGAAATTATTTACAAGTAAAATGACACAAACTAGAGTTTATACAGTATCATCACGAGTAATAAGGGTTAATTGATAGAATTAATACTTATGATGGATAATAAGGAATATATTTTGTCGAAACTCATGAAACGACAGGATTAAGACCGATTACCGAGAGATAGTGATGCGGCACTCTCAATAAAAATATTATGTCCTTGTGAGAAATTTGTTTTTCATTGAAACGAAAGTGTCATTAATTGAGATGGCGCACTGCATGATGTGCTGTCAACACCACCCCAGTTTATATTACCAATACAAGGTCTTATACTATAACCTGTGGCACATGCACATACAGCGGTTGATACTAATTCTATTCCGGAACCACAAGTACCCACATACCATGTGACTCCATTTGAAGTGCCACTATATGCCGATGAAGTTCTTAATGCTGTTGCGATAGCATTAACTACAACTGAATTAGTTGCGTTAATACCATTTGTATTATATGTGCCACTTAAAGTAAATGATTTATAAGTCGAACACGTCAAACCAGCTACAAAAGATGCCCATGCTGAACATAAGCTTGTTGAATAAACACCGTTAACAAAACTTTGTGAATATATTCTTGATGGGCAGATTGGTGTTGTTGCTTTGAAAAATAGAATGAAATAAGGATTAATTGATTAGCTAAGACTATATTTACTTGTTGTTGTTGTACTAGTCGAAGACGTGGATGTAGTACCTGTTGTTGAAGCTGGAATGCCAGACAAGAGCTTATGAGTGTTTGTGAAAAAAAAAATCAAATTCTCACTTGTTTTTGTAGTTTTTGTTGTTGTTGTTGCTAGAATAAGTCAAATATCAAATTAGTTTTCTTCTACTCTTCTCGATGAACTTACTTGTTGTTGTAGTCGCTGTAGTCGTTGTTTCTAAAAACAAATAAAAAATATGTTACTTCTTGATATGATAGGATATATGTTCTTTTTGAAATAGAAGATTTTTACGTGTTGTAGTGCTTGTGATGTTTTCTTCGGCAATAACAAGTACATATATGTTAATTATGACAGCTACCAAAGCCACCACTGCAAGTAGAATTCCAAGAGAAATCAATAATATTTTCCGACATTTTTTCTTTTTTTCCGGAACTGATGGATTTCTGTTGTAGAAAAAAGAGATTAAGAATAGTTCTAATAGTTTCTGCAAATGGTTAACTCACACAAAATCAGCTTTGTGTGGAGACAAGGTTGAGATGCTCTTCATAGTTGAACTGGGTAGAGAATTTGGGTGTGTCCTATATAGTTGATTATGAATCGGTGCGACATTCACGAAAAAATATTTAGTTTCATTTTAACTTCGTACTATATATCATACCTTCGTTGGCTTTCGAGCTAAAGTTCGTTTTCGAACCACTGTTACTCGGACAGATTGGTGTATTTTCATTTCTAGTTTGAAACAAATATGATTATACTTTTTGTTTCGAAATCGATGAATAAAATATTACTTTGTGTCATTTCGTTCCCTCTTTATATGTTAACGAGCATTGCCGAAACCTTAGTTATGTCAGTCTGATCGTAACTGAATATATTTGTACGAGAAAAAGTTCTCACACCTTGTTTCAGACGAACAAAACCAAATTATTTTATACAAGTATTCTTTTGATCAGTTTATTTTCATCGCATAAAGACAATCTACGACAAGACTTTTAATTGTAGTGCAAGCACTTTGAGCTAATATGCTCAAATGTATATATCTATTTCTGCATTTTACTTGATCGATAGCCGAAACACGTACTGATTTCCAAATCAATTTATTCAATCTGTTGTGTTTCTGATCAAAATCAAATGTCAATGTGACTATTGGAAGAGATTGAATTATTTCTGTTAAAGAAGCTATAAAAGAAATATGTTTTTTGTTTTCCATTATGATAGATATGCAAATTAATAAAATCTTGAGGGTTGAAAATAAAGAATTTTTGATTGATTTTTATTTTTTTAAATAACTTATTGATTATTGACTTTGAAAAAACGAACAATAATTTGTATTATATGCAAGTATGTTTTGAAATGGACTGATCTTCTATTAATCGATAGTATACGAAAAGTAAAAAAGCAGTGTCATATCTTATTTGAGTATTGATGATTAGTTATTTTGAGCTTGTCGACTGATAATATTGAATGAAGAAAATTAATTTTCTGGCCTTAGAGAGCGAGAATGTGGACACGTTAACAAGTCATCTGGATATTCATTTCTATTGGATTATACTAAGTGTGTGATTATGAATTTTTATTAGAACCTCACCTCTACACCCTCAGGAAAATATAAACAATTTATTGGCATAAACTAATTTCTTAGACAAATACCGACTAAAAAAAAATTTATATAGAAATGATTCGTCATTATCACAATAAAACAGTTGTAATTATTCGACTTAATTTGTTTGTAATGGTTGATATAGTTCTGCACTCTTCAAAATCACACTAACATACTCTCCACCAGTAACTAATATTTTTCCATTCTTTAATACGGATGCTGTATGCTCAATTCGTGCATCATTCATGCTACCGATAGTTGTCCAAGTTTCTGTTGATGGATCATACAATTCAGTACTATCTAAAGCATTATGATAAGCTCCGCCAGCAACTAACACTTTTCCATTTGGTAATATGGATGCTGTATGACCAAATCGTGGAGTATTCATGCTATCAACAACTGTCCATATTCCTGTCGATGGATCGTACAACTCAACATCATCCAGTGCACTAGTACCATTAAATCCACCAGTAACTAATACTTTTCCATTCCTTAGTACGGATGCTGTGTGTTTTTCTCGTCCAAAAATCATGTTACTAGTAGTTGTCCAAGTCTCTGTCGATGGATCATACAGTTCAGCACTATTTAAAGCATAAATACTAATATGTCCACCAGTAACTAACACTGTTCCATTTGTTAATACGGATAATGCGTGTGCACCTCGTGCACTATTCATACTGCCAGTATTTGACCAGATCTCTGTCGATGGATCATATAACTCAACACTATTTGTCCACTGACCATTTGCATCTGCTCCACCAGTAACTAGCACTTTTCCGTTTGTTAACACAGATGCTACGTGTTCGGCTCGTGCAATATTCATACTACTAGTAGTTGTCCAAGTATTTGTTGATGAATTATATAATTCAGCACTATTCAGAAATTCATGACCAGAAAGACCACCAGTAACTAATACTTTTCCATTTTTTAGTACGGATGCTGTGTGTTCACCTCGTGCATGTTTCATGCTACTAATAATTGTCCAATTTTCTGCTGATGGATCATACAATTCACCATTATATAGAACACCATGGTTGAATCCACCAGTAACTAGTACTTTTTCATTTGGTAATATGCATGCTGCATGTGACCGTCGTTGATGATTCAGATTACCAGTTTTAGACCATTCTAAATGAAAACATTCAAATGTTTTCCTTCTACAAGAGATGATTGAGGATGTGGGTGTATAATTAGTATGATATCCACACCCACACCCGATGACGAGTCACTAGAAGTTTACCTGACTGCCGAGTAGTGGTCGTAGTTATTGTTGTTGTTGTTTTTGTTGTTGTTGTTGTTATTGTCGTTGATTTCGGCGGGGCTGTTGTTGTTAGTGTTGTTGAAGTTGTTGTTGTTACTGGTAGTGTTGATTTGGTGGCAATGGTAGTGGAC